TTGGTGCTGTTGATCCTGCATAATGCATGGGCATAATATGACTATGAAACCCCCCCCCCCACCCACCTCCTACGCATTTCCCATGAATATGCGAAATTCCTCTTCATATGCACATTCTTTTTGTTAAGGCGCTCTTGCACCTCCAACGCAGCGTATATATAAGCTCCTAGCTTGGCAGTGTCTCATTCTTCACCTGAAGACGGCTGCTTGCGTTGTAGCCGAAACGTTGTGAGAATTATTTTATTTTATTGTTTTATTTTTATTATTTTATTACTTCCCTTCTACGTGACTTTACCGAAAGAACCAAGAAGATGGATCCCTGCAGTCACGAAAGCTTTAAATCGATTATTTATGATACTTGATATCCAAGTAAATACATGCTAAATACTTCCTAACAGATCGCGTGAGCACAGCTCGTCTGTACTGAGACAAACCCAAAAGACGACTTTGCTGGATTACGGAAGCACATCGCGAATCACAAATCCCCGAATTACAGGGATTTGTAAATTACCACATCGCGAATTATTGGATTTCTGCTGTAACAAAAGACATTACGCCTCCTGCACATATATATGTCCCTCTACGTACAAAACAACTATGTATATCGGCCTTTTGGGAGCGCATCTCAGACAGCATGGGTTCAACGCAAGCAAACTCTGGACCGGTTTTGACATTCAGTGTCTCCATCAGCAGTCCGATTTGGAAGAAACCACAGCTGAAACTTTCTAAATGGTTAGTAGCAATTCCCACTGTCGACGAGTGCTCATTTGCGTGTCGCGTATTTACAGGTGTCGAGGTTGACCCGATTCGAACACAGCGTCCATTCGCCAATCAACATCTGGTAGCACGCAAAACAGATCCTCCATGTCGCCTCAACAGAGTGTGGGGCAAGTGCTGGTAGCGAGCAGCACCACGAAGGCCACACGAGGCGGCGGGCGGGCAACACCACGCGCGACCGCGTTTGTCTCGCAGTGGCGATGTCTCTAGACACCGCACCAGGTGCTTACATTGAACCCGAGTCGACCTAGGAGAGGCCCAGGGCGCCAAGCACGACGCTGCCCCCCCCCCCCCAGGCACACACGAGTCTGCCCCCCCCCCACACGAGTCTGCCCCCCCCCCACACGAGTCTGCCCCCCCCCACACGAGTCTGCCCCCCCCCCAGGCACACACGAGTCTGCCCCCCCCCCACACGAGTCTGCCCCCCCCCACACGAGTCTGCCCCCCCCCAGGCACACACGAGTCTGCCCCCCCCCACACGAGTCTGCCCCCCCCCCGGCACACACGAGTCTGCCCCCCCCCCCAGGCACACACGAGTCTGCCCCCCCCCCCAGGCACACACGAGTCTGCCCCCCCCCCAGGCACACACGAGTCTGCCCCCCCCCCAGGCACACACGAGTCTGCCCCCCCCCAGGCACACACGAGTCTGCCCCCCCCCCAGGCACACACGAGTCTGCCCCCCCCCCAGGCACACACGAGTCTGCCGCCCCCCCCCCAGGCACACACGAGTCTGCCCCCCCCCAGGCACACACGAGTCTGCCCCCCCCCCCAGGCACACACGAGTCTGCCCCCCCCCCAGGCACACACGAGTCTGCCCCCCCCCCAGGCACACACGAGTCTGCCCCCCCCCCCCAGGCACACACGAGTCTGCCCCCCCCCCAGGCACACACGAGTCTGCCCCCCCCCCAGGCACACACGAGTCTGCCCCCCCCCCAGGCACACACGAGTCTGCCCCCCCCCCAGGCACACACGAGTCTGCCCCCCCCCCCAGGCACACACGAGTCTGCCCCCCCCCCCAGGCACACACGAGTCTGCCCCCCCCCCAGGCACACACGAGTCTGCCCCCCCCCCCAGGCACACACGAGTCTGCCCCCCCCCCCAGGCACACACGAGTCTGCCCCCCCCCCCCAGGCACACACGAGTCTGCCCCCCCCCCCAGGCACACACGAGTCTGCCCCCCCCCAGGCACACACGAGTCTGCCCCCCCCCCAGGCACACACGAGTCTGCCCCCCCCCCAGGCACACACGAGTCTGCCCCCCCCCCCAGGCACACACGAGTCTGCCCCCCCCCAGGCACACACGAGTCTGCCCCCCCCCCAGGCACACACGAGTCTGCCCCCCCCCCCAGGCACACACGAGTCTGCCCCCCCCCCAGGCACACACGAGTCTGCCCCCCCCCCAGGCACACACGAGTCTGCCCCCCCCCCCGGCACACACGAGTCTGCCCCCCCCCCAGGCACACACGAGTCTGCCCCCCCCCCCAGCACACACGAGTCTGCCCCCCCCAGGCAACACGAGTCTGCCCCCCCCCCCCAGGCACACACGAGTCTGCCCCCCCCCCAGGCACACACGAGTCTGCCCCCCCCCCCGGCACACACGAGTCTGCCCCCCCCCCCAGGCACACACGAGTCTGCCCCCCCCCCAGGCACACACGAGTCTGCCCCCCCCCCCAGGCACACACGAGTCTGCCCCCCCCCCAGGCACACACGAGTCTGCCCCCCCCCCCCCAGGCACACACGAGTCTGCCCCCCCCCCCAGGCACACACGAGTCTGCCCCCCCCCCCAGGCACACACGAGTCTGCCCCCCCCCCAGGCACACACGAGTCTGCCCCCCCCCCCAGGCACACACGAGTCTGCCCCCCCCCCCCAGGCACACACGAGTCTGCCCCCCCCCCAGGCACACACGAGTCTGCCCCCCCCCCAGGCACACACGAGTCTGCCCCCCCCCCCAGGCACACACGAGTCTGCCCCCCCCCCCAGGCACACACGAGTCTGCCCCCCCCCCAGGCACACACGAGTCTGCCCCCCCCCCCGGCACACACGAGTCTGCCCCCCCCCCCCGGCACACACGAGTCTGCCCCCCCCCCCAGGCACACACGAGTCTGCCCCCCCCCCCCGGCACACACGAGTCTGCCCCCCCCCCCCAGGCACACACGAGTCTGCCCCCCCCCCAGGCACACACGAGTCTGCCCCCCCCCCCCAGGCACACACGAGTCTGCCCCCCCCCCAGGCACACACGAGTCTGCCCCCCCCCCCAGGCACACACGAGTCTGCCCCCCCCCCCAGGCACACACGAGTCTCCCCCCCCCCCAGGCACACACGAGTCTGCCCCCCCCCCCAGGCACACACGAGTCTGCCCCCCCCCCAGGCACACACGAGTCTGCCCCCCCCCAGACACACACGAGTCTGCCCCCCCCCCCAGGCACACACGAGTCTGCCCCCCCCCCCAGCACACACGAGTCTCCCCCCCCCCCCCCCCCCCAGGCACACACGAGTCTGCCCCCCCCAGACACACACGAGTCTGCCCCCCCCCCCCAGGCACACACGAGTCTGCCCCCCCCAGACACACACGCCGCTACCTCCGACTGATGCGGGACGCTCGCTGCCCGTGGGGTTCTCGTGTCGCGCCGCGCGTGTGGACGCGTGGCGAGACGCGAGCTGCGTCGCTTGCTGTACAGGAGGTCGTCGGTTCTACCCCGACCCCGACTGCGGCTGCGTGTTGCGAGTTCGCGCGTCTCTCTCTCTCCCCGAGTTCGCGTGGATTTGTTTCCGGGTTTCCCCTCCACATTAAGAATCAACGCGCGTTTGTCTGCTATAGATGTACACGCGATGATACGCCACTTCCGTTGAGGTAGAATGTGGTAGTCAGGTCGATTCTGAAAAAGAGCTATAATACAGCTCAGTGCGGAGCCTTAGCTGGTAAAATATAAAAATAGTGACTATAGTTGTGAACAGTTTAGTTGCCTCTTACCTCGCCGCTGTCTCCACTCGCCCCGCGCCGCGTCTCCCCGGGAACCAGCCGCGCGGTGACGTCACCATCGCTTAGCGACGAGGGGAGGGGGAGGGGTGAAGGGGGGCAAGGGGTGACGTCACCATCGCTTAGCGACGAGGGGAGGGGGAGGGGTGAAGGGGGGCAAGGGGTGACGTCACCATCGCTTCGCGACGAGGGGAGGGGGAGGGGTGAACGGGGGGCAAGGGGTGACGTCACCATCGCTTCGCGACGAGGGGAGGGGGAGGGGTGAACGGGGGGCAAGGGGGTGACGTCACCATCGCTTAGCGACGAGGGGAGGGGGAGGGGTGAAGGGGGGCAAGGGGGTGACGTCACCATCGCTTCGCGACGAGGGGAGGGGGAGGGGTGAACGGGGGGCAAGGGGTGACGTCACCATCGCTTAGCGACGAGGGGAGGGGGAGGGGTGAAGGGGGGCAAGGGGTGACGTCACCATCGCTTCGCGACGAGGGGAGGGGGAGGGGTGAAGGGGGGGCAAGGGGGTGACGTCACCATCGCTTCGCGACGAGGGGAGGGGGAGGGGTGAACGGGGGGCAAGGGGGTGACGTCACCATCGCTTCGCGACGAGGGGAGGGGGAGGGGTGAAGGGGGGCAAGGGGTGACGTCACCATCGCTTCGCGACGAGGGGAGGGGAGGGGTGAAGGGGGGGCAAGGGGGTGACGTCACCATCGCATCGCGACGAGGGGAGGGGAGGGGTGAACGGGGGGCAAGGGGTGACGTCACCATCGCTTCGCGACGAGGGGAGGGGGAGGGGTGAAGGGGGGCAAGGGGTGACGTCACCATCGCTTCGCGACGAGGGGAGGGGGAGGGGTGAAGGGGGGCAAGGGGTGACGTCACCATCGCTTAGCGACGAGGGGAGGGGGAGGGGTGAACGGGGGGCAAGGGGGTGACGTCACCATCGCTTAGCGACGAGGGGAGGGGGAGGGGTGAAGGGGGGCAAGGGGTGACGTCACCATCGCTTCGCGACGAGGGGAGGGGGAGGGGTGAAGGGGGGCAAGGGGGTGACGTCACCATCGCTTCGCGACGAGGGGAGGGGGAGGGGTGAAGGGGGGCAAGGGGGTGACGTCACCATCGCTTCGCGACGAGGGGAGGGGGAGGGGTGAAGGGGGGCAAGGGGTGACGTCACCATCGCTTCGCGACGAGGGAGGGGAGGGGTGAAGGGGGGCAAGGGGTGACGTCACACGTCTCTAAAAGCGCGGGAAACTCCCCCCCCCCCCAGCGATGGCGGCTGTCTCCGAGTCGCCCTCGTGATCTCCGCCGCTGCCCGCGTGGAGGAGGGCCAGCGCCGCCTCAGAGATGGCGCCCTCGAGCACCACGAGGGCCACGCGAACCGCCATCGACATCAGTAAGGTTGGAATCTGTGCATCTCGTTCCTCACCACCCTCACAACCTCATCAACATCTCCCCATCGCCTCACCTCGTCTCCCTCCTCACCCATCGCCTCACCTCGTCTCCCTCCTCACCCATCGCCTCACCTCGTCTCCCTCCTCACCCATCGCCTCACCTCGTCTCCCTCCTCACCCATCGCCTCACCTCGTCTCCCTCCTCACCCATCGCCTCACCTCGTCTCCCTCCTCACCCATCGCCTCACCTCGTCTCCCTCCTCACCCATCGCCTCACCTCGTCTCCCTCCTCACCCATCGCCTCACCTCGTCTGCCTCCTCACCCATCGCCTCACCCACCCACTTACCCTGCAACCCACTTAATCTCTAACACACTCACTCACCCACTCACCGACTCCCTCAACCACTGACCCACTGACTCACTCACAGACCCACCCAGTTAATCACCCACTCTGTGTAGTCCTCACCTCTTCTGGTATTGTGAGATATTCTTCCTCCCAGCAGCTTCTTCATGACGACGCCCGTGGGGTGGGCGAGCCTCTCAACGAGCCAGGCGAGAGGGACCACAGCCTGGTCATGTTGGGTTCCAGTGGCGGCTGGTGATATTTATTTTTGGGGGGGCGCATTTTTTTTATTTTATTGAGGGGGGCAAATAAATATAAAGCAGTACCAAAAACCATTTTGACTACTTGAATATAAATTTTGATGATCTTCATTTACATTTCAGACCAAAGGAAGTACCAAAAAGCATGTTTCCTACTTGAACATAAATGTTTCTCTTTTATATACATTTCAGACCAAAGTACCAAAAAGCATGTTTCCTACTTGAACATAAATTTTGCTCTTCTTTCTTTCTGGCCAGCAAATTTCTCAACTACTCTCTGATTAAAGTCAGTCATCTCCGTAACAAGTCTCTTTTCCATGGACAGCAATTGCAGTGCATTCAGCCTCTCCTGGGTCATGGTGTTTCTGAGAAAAGTTTTTATTCGTTTCAAGGTTGAGAAGCACCTCTCAGCTTCAGCCGTGGTCATGGGTGTGGTAATGATAACTTTTAGGAGAGTCACAGTTTCGGAAAAGACTTCTTCGAGATTATTCTCCATAAACAGCTGGAATAGGTCCACAGCACCACGGCAGGCTCTGAACTCTTCCTTGCTGTAGATGAGACTGAGCTCCGTCTTCAGCTTGCTTCCACTGAGCATCGGGTACGCTTTCATGGTGCTGCTCAATGCATCTTCAGGAAAGGTATCCTTGTACTCATCAAACCTGTCCCCCTGCAACAAGGTGGCACAGACAAGGTGGTCTGTGAAGGAGAAACGCTCCCTAGTGTGTCCCAGGATTGTGTCACAGACCTATAGAGATAATTAAACAAATAGATATATAAATGTGTAGACCACTAATTGTCACAGTTGCAATTACTTTCAAAAGAAAAATAGAGCCATTTGAGTTTTTGTCCCATACAAGACTGTAGTTTTTGGTGGCTTCAAATTTCATTTGATCATTTATTTTTATGTTGCCAATTTATTATTTTTGGGATGCTATTGTATATTAAAATTAAGATTTTTGTTAGGATTTATACCAAACTAAAAATGTTTTCTTGAGTCTGTAGAATATGATATGTAGGCAAGACATCTCTGCAGCACAACAATAATGTAAAATGGTATTTTGACTGATTTCTATAACAAACTCACCTCTGCTGCAATCCTTTCACGGTCTTCCGAACTGAGCGCCCGGCGCCTCTTTGTTGGACGAGAACCACTGCTTTGCTCACCAATGGAGTGGAGAGAGTTTCTGCAAAGGACAAAGATAATTTATTATAATTTTGGCAAAGGATAAAGAGAGTTAAAAATGAAAGCGAAAGCAAATAATGATCATATTACAGGAATAAAGTTACCTGATCTTTTGTATTTCTTGTTGGAACTGTTGGATGCTCACTTTGGTATGGACTGAATCAATGTTCTTTTTCTGGAGCTTGGCATAGAGGAAGTCTACATGTGGCATGATGTGGTGATAAAGTTCCAGAAAGAACTTAAAATCCTCATCCTCCAGTAGCATGGCCAGGGCTCCTGCTTCTCTGACAGTATTGGGGTCGAAGTCACCTGAGTCTTGTATGCTCTCAAAACAGTGAATGAGATCCTCTCTGTGCTCAAAAACAGTATTAATGGCACGGCTATGAAAGTTCCATCTGATGTTGCTGGATCTTGGCAGTCTATGGGCAACCACTTTATCCAGAAAACATGTCCGCTTGGGTGACTTAGAAAAAAAGCTGGCAAATCCACCAATGTAAGAAAAAAATATTCTCGTCTTGGATATGTGAGACGTGGCCTGTTGCATTATCAGGTTGAGCTGATGTGCGTAGCAGTGGATGTAGTGGGCATTTGGGTACACATCTTGTATTTTTCTCTGAACACCTGCAGTGGCACCCCTCATCACGCTGGCCCCATCATATTCCTGGCAGATGAGCTTACTTTTCTGATCCTTAGGAAGGATAGAAGCAAGACGCTCTTTTAGTGCAGTAGCAATGGACTCAGCTGTAGCTGACTGCAGAGGGATGAACTCAAAAAAATCTTTCCTGCACGTTATTTTTGTCGTCGATGTAGCGCAGCACAAGCACAAGTTGGGACTGTGTGGCAATATCTTGTTTCATCTGCCTGGATTGATAAAAAAACTACTTGTCCGGACTTCTTTGATTATTTCTTCTCTTGTAACAGACAACATACAGTCCAGTAGCTCGTTCTGTATAGTTTTCGACGTTCCCTTAAATACAGTAGCACTGTCAAGGTGCTCTTTCAATGCTCCATCAAGAGAGACAACAAAATCCACCAACCCGCGAAATATACTGGGGTTATCTGAGCTCTCACTCTCATCATGGCCACGTAACGCCAACTCAAATGCTCCACAAAATTTCACACAGTCTATTATCCTGGACAGTATGTGTCGATTTTTTGTCACCTCTTCGTTGTGCCTTCTAATGCCAATCCTGTAGCCTTCATCTAGTTGTTCAGCAATGCTAACTCTGCCCAAAAACGTTAGTTTCATGCTATTATCAATATGGCTGCGGCTACTTTCATGACGTTTGCATTTGTCGGAGAGATGTTTGAGGTCTCTTACCCCCGTCGTTGTCCACAAAACTTCAGTGCCGACACTTTGAAATAAAAGACAGGGAAAACAAAAAAGAGAATTGCTAACATCACATCCAGCCAGCCACCTCCGTTTCTCATAACAAGCGCGGGTGAAGCTCCGTGTGTAGCTTCGTCCTCTGTCACTGGCCTGCTGCTGGATTTGTAAATCGGGTTGGTCCGGTACGAGATCCTTTATCTTTTTTATTTCTTCCAGCGAAAGCCTTGTGAAAGGGTTTTTTTGTAAATAAATTACAGAATTTGGATGAACTGCTGCCATTGTTTACACAAAAAATTTGATCAGCCTAGCAAGTGTCGAAGTGGTGTCGCCTGCGCACTCGCAGTAGTGGCCCAGAGCGTAAAGTTGAATGACAGGTGACGAGAACCAATCAGATTGGATAAAATAACATGTATCCAATTCTGATTGGCCAGGGACGCAACGACTTGCGCCCTGAGGAGAATCTTTAAGAAACCAATTAGAGACCAGCTTCAGGTCACATGCTGTCCGAAAATTTAAAGTCTCACATAGACATCCATTTGTCCGGCGTCCCGCATGAAACACATTGAAAAACATAGAAAATAGTTGACCGATTAAAGCCAGTTTTTATTCAATGCTGATGCTTTTCTTACTACCAGCCGGCACATCGTATGAAAAAAATATTTTATTTATGTATTTTTATATAATTTTTGTATATGTATATTTCTTGAATCTTGATGTGGACGGCGCCCCAGCGCCCTCTATTGACAAGCCGCCACTGTTGGGTTCATAGTGCAGGGGGGCACACGGTCCACTCCAGCTCCATGTATGGCTTGCCCTGGTACAGATGTTAAATACCTCGTCTGGTATACAGGCCGTGGGATTGATCCCGACCCTGCCACCTGTGTATTTGGAGTTTGCATGTTCTCTCTGTGGTGGCGTGGATTGTTCTCTGGGTACTCCAGTTTTTACCTCCACATAAAAAAAAAATGTGTTTAAAGAGTGCTCTACATTGCTACACATTTCCACTTGAGAAGCCATTTTCATTTTGTTTAATAGTTTATTCTAAACAGCCACTCTCAGTTTAAGCAACTATTCTACTTATTCGCGTATTGATATCACCTGAGGTGGCACTACTTAAGTTGAAGTGCATGCAGCCCAGCAATTGCTTCCTCAATGCTGACAGATGGACCTCCACTCGAGGAGCTCGAGAAAGCCCCTCGAGATAGTTTTGGTCTCCTGTTCCCTGCTGTCCAGACATTGTATAGGAGGTGGGATTACCCACACTGTATCCCACTACACACAAATTGTCCATCGACTGCGCTGTTCCCATTTATACTGCTGAGTGGACAGAGGGAGGGGGAATGAAAAAATATATATTTTAGCAGGTAAGGCTCACTGAGCTATGCAGCTCTTTTTTCAGAAGCAACTTGGCCAGCATGATAGCTCAACGAAGTGGCTAATTACATAAAAATGCATAGCAACCAAATACTCCAAACGTGTGTTGATTATAAATGTGGAGGGAAAAACAGGAGGACCCGGAGAAAAATCCAGGTGACCACAGGGATAAGATGCAAACTCCAAATATACAGGCGGCAGGGTCGGGATCGATTCCATGACCTCCTGTATACTAGGCAAGGTAGTTAACATCTCACCACCATGGTGCCCCATTCTCTGACTCACCCACCCACCCACTCACACACTAACTTACCCACTCAACCTCCTACACTAACTTACCCACCCACCCACCAGCCACTCACCCAAACATCCACCCATTCACCTACTGACTCACACCACTTATTCAAATACCCATCCACTCACACAATGACCCAGCCACTGACTCAGCCACCCACCAACTCACCCACCCAACCCCCATTCAACCACCCAACCACCAACCCACCCATTCACTCACTCATCCACTCACCCACAAAACAAAAACTAAACTGTTTTTATTTTACCAGGTAAGGCCTACAGGGCTATATAGATCTTTTTCAAAAGTGACCTCTGTTTTTGTTTGTCCCTGATGTGCACGGGTGATCCTTCCTTCGTAATGAATTTTACTCCGCAGTTCTTGGAATTCAGGCGCTATCGTTGTCCCTGGAGAGTGAAACGTCCGGGTTGAGGCAAAGACGCGCGCACAGGCGGCAGCAGTACAAAGAGATCGGAGCCCACTGGGACGTTGGTGCCCTCTGGTGGTTGTGGTGAGTTTTGTGTGCCTGGCAGGTTTTATCTTTATACGTGACTTTACCGAAAGAACCAAAGAATAATTCCTGCAGTCACGAAAGCTCCAAAATTAATATTGAACCACTTCTACGGGGAAGTTCCAAGTTTACCTTTTTTCTATCTCTCTGGGTTTTTTATTCTCTCTCTCTCTGCCTGTATATTTAGTGTAATTTTTTCTGTCTACACTCGTTTTTTGTCGTTCTTAGGTTCTGCTCTGTCTGTGTGTCTCCGTTCCTCTTGTTTTTATGTTTTGTCTTTCTTTGGAATTTTCACACTTAAATTCTAACTTAGCAATCTTTGAAATACGTAATCGACCAGGCTATGCGTTAATTGTGTGTTGACCGACTCTCTGTGTCGTTTTACATAACATTTCGATACTTTGCTAGGTTATTTAATTTAGTGTGTTCTGTCTCCCTCTAAGCCTGCTTACCTTACTCCCCTCCCTTCGTACTCATTGACATGTAAATGTTTTCCCTACCCCCTCCCTCTCTCTGCCTCCGCCCCCCTCTGTCTATTTAAGGCCACCCCACAGAGACGATCACCTCTCTCTGTACCTGGGTTGCTCTCTCTATGTATCTTGGTGATATCTGTCTGCTTATATGTCTGTCTATAGTTTTCTGGTTATATTCTATGTCGCTATTTCATTATACCTGATGATGATTGCTTGTGTTGCAATCGAAACGTCGTATGCTATTATTTAATTTATTATTTTATTTTTATACGTGACTTTACCGAAAAAAACCAAAGAATAGCCACTCTCAGTTTAAGCAACTATTCTACTTATTCGCGTATTGATATCACCTGAGGTGGCACTACTTAAGTTGAAGTGCATGCAGCCCAGCAATTGCTTCCTCAATGCTGACAGATGGACCTCCACTCGAGGAGCTCGAGAAAGCCCCTCGAGATAGTTTTGGTCTCCTGTTCCCTGCTGTCCAGACATTGTATAGGAGGTGGGATTACCCACACTGTATCCCACTACACACAAATTGTCCATCGACTGCGCTGTTCCCATTTATACTGCTGAGTGGACAGAGGGAGGGGGAATGAAAAAATATATATTTTAGCAGGTAAGGCTCACTGAGCTATGCAGCTCTTTTTTCAGAAGCAACTTGGCCACATGATAGCTCAACGAAGTGGCTAATTACATAAAAATGCATAGCAACCAAATACTCCAAACGTGTGTTGATTATAAATGTGGAGGGAAAAACAGGAGGACCCGGAGAAAAATCCAGGTGACCACAGGGATAAGATGCAAACTCCAAATATACAGGCGGCAGGGTCGGGATCGATTCCATGACCTCCTGTATACTAGGCAAGGTAGTTAACATCTCACCACCATGGTGCCCCATTCTCTGACTCACCCACCCACCCACTCACACACTAACTTACCCACTCAACCTCCTACACTAACTTACCCACCCACCCACCAGCCACTCACCCAAACATCCACCCATTCACCTACTGACTCACACCACTTATTCAAATACCCATCCACTCACACAATGACCCAGCCACTGACTCAGCCACCCACCAACTCACCCACCCAACCCCCATTCAACCACCCAACCACCAACCCACCCATTCACTCACTCATCCACTCACCCACAAAACAAAAACTAAACTGTTTTTATTTTACCAGGTAAGGCCTACAGGGCTATATAGATCTTTTTCAAAAGTGACCTCTGTTTTTGTTTGTCCCTGATGTGCACGGGTGATCCTTCCTTCGTAATGAATTTTACTCCGCAGTTCTTGGAATTCAGGCGCTATCGTTGTCCCTGGAGAGTGAAACGTCCGGGTTGAGGCAAAGACGCGCGCACAGGCGGCAGCAGTACAAAGAGATCGGAGCCCACTGGGACGTTGGTGCCCTCTGGTGGTTGTGGTGAGTTTTGTGTGCCTGGCAGGTTTTATCTTTATACGTGACTTTACCGAAAGAACCAAAGAATAATTCCTGCAGTCACGAAAGCTCCAAAATTAATATTGAACCACTTCTACGGGGAAGTTCCAAGTTTACCTTTTTTCTATCTCTCTGGGTTTTTTATTCTCTCTCTCTCTGCCTGTATATTTAGTGTAATTTTTTCTGTCTACACTCGTTTTTTGTCGTTCTTAGGTTCTGCTCTGTCTGTGTGTCTCCGTTCCTCTTGTTTTTATGTTTTGTCTTTCTTTGGAATTTTCACACTTAAATTCTAACTTAGCAATCTTTGAAATACGTAATCGACCAGGCTATGCGTTAATTGTGTGTTGACCGACTCTCTGTGTCGTTTTACATAACATTTCGATACTTTGCTAGGTTATTTAATTTAGTGTGTTCTGTCTCCCTCTAAGCCTGCTTACCTTACTCCCCTCCCTTCGTACTCATTGACATGTAAATGTTTTCCCTACCCCCTCCCTCTCTCTGCCTCCGCCCCCCTCTGTCTATTTAAGGCCACCCCACAGAGACGATCACCTCTCTCTGTACCTGGGTTGCTCTCTCTATGTATCTTGGTGATATCTGTCTGCTTATATGTCTGTCTATAGTTTTCTGGTTATATTCTATGTCGCTATTTCATTATACCTGATGATGATTGCTTGTGTTGCAATCGAAACGTCGTATGCTATTATTTAATTTATTATTTTATTTTTATACGTGACTTTACCGAAAAAAACCAAAGAATAGCCACTCTCAGTTTAAGCAACTATTCTACTTATTCGCGTATTGATATCACCTGAGGTGGCACTACTTAAGTTGAAGTGCATGCAGCCCAGCAATTGCTTCCTCAATGCTGACAGATGGACCTCCACTCGAGGAGCTCGAGAAAGCCCCTCGAGATAGTTTTGGTCTCCTGTTCCCTGCTGTCCAGACATTGTATAGGAGGTGGGATTACCCACACTGTATCCCACTACACACAAATTGTCCATCGACTGCGCTGTTCCCATTTATACTGCTGAGTGGACAGAGGGAGGGGGAATGAAAAAATATATATTTTAGCAGGTAAGGCTCACTGAGCTATGCAGCTCTTTTTTCAGAAGCAACTTGGCCACATGATAGCTCAACGAAGTGGCTAATTACATAAAAATGCATAGCAACCAAATACTCCAAACGTGTGTTGATTATAAATGTGGAGGGAAAAACAGGAGGACCCGGAGAAAAATCCAGGTGACCACAGGGATAAGATGCAAACTCCAAATATACAGGCGGCAGGGTCGGGATCGATTCCATGACCTCCTGTATACTAGGCAAGGTAGTTAACATCTCACCACCATGGTGCCCCATTCTCTGACTCACCCACCCACCCACTCACACACTAACTTACCCACTCAACCTCCTACACTAACTTACCCACCCACCCACCAGCCACTCACCCAAA